ATGTTATAATCTCAGTCAAGTAATCCTTTATAAGCCAAATCACATTTCCGATTTGCAGTTAAGGTGTCATGAGTTACGTTAACTACTGGTTTTTGCAGCAGACCTTTGCTACGTGTCGTTTCGCTACACGACATCAATGCATCCACGGCAGACAGTCGTACGTGTTGCCTCAGCAACCGAACGAATCGCACAAATGAGATACTATAGAAAGAAAGCAAAGCTTGGTAGTGGAGCGCTCACCGATCGCGCTACGGAACTCACTCGTTCCGTTGCGCCTTAAGGGCTCGCTCTCGAGCCCAACCAGCAACCGCACAGCGGCGCATGATATATAGGCAGAATGATATTACCGACAAAGACAAGGGTGACTGGAGCGGCCATTTCTGGCTTATTAACCGTCGTCAGCCAGCCATACCCAACCACGAGGTTTGGAACGCCTGGGTCCCTATCCCGCGACCTGTTGGTTAGAAGTCCAACGCCCCTAACTACTGAGCCACGGGCTCGTTCAGTCTCCCTTGTCTTTGTCAGTAATACTATTCTGCCTATATCACGCGCCAAAGTTAAGCTTCTTATGCGAAAAAAGGCAGCAGATCGTTACAACAATAGAGCGAGTTAAATGAACGCTAAGCAGAGGAAGGTGAGAAGTTGCCCGTCTTCACAATTAAATTTTGAGAGCAAATAATTCCTTTTTTTATCTTGATATTTTCCTGTCACGAGGTAACGACCCGCGCGTGCTAATTTGTCACTTTACAGTGGTGGATTCAATCTGTCCGTGGGCTCACTCACAACACAAAGGCTCAGAACGTCTGCCCGATGACGCAATTGCGAAAACAGTGAGTCACCTTTCAGATGCAGCATGCTCCCAAATTCAGTATATTTTTATTCCATTTTTTCGTCCCCATCTCAGTCAGGCCTTTGATCCGATCTGACTGGGTTACATGCCAAAAAGAATTTATATTGGTCAATGAGACTTAAGACTTGATTTGTTAAGGGTCCCTGCTCAGTTAGTTATTGGCCCTTCCGGATTTTCCTTCGACTTCGGCTCCTTCTTTCTATGGGAAAGTCTGACCGTCGTATGTGAATATGTTAACCATGTATCCAACAGCGTGGTGGGCGCAGGACGGCGAGTTTCGCGGTGATTGGATTGTGGTGATGGCAGACTTGATGAGATATTCATGAGTGAAGAAGAAGAGTCGAGCACCGGAACATTTTGCTTATTGTCCTGCGCTTTCAAGCTCCTGCAGGTGTCCAGCGTCAGTGATAGTAGCAGCAACAGAACAAGCGACAGTGAATGAGTATCTTTGTCCGGCTGTTCTAATAAGGACCATCCCCATACCGTCAGCAAGGGATGATTGGAGTGTATCTATGCACGAAGGAATGCTGACGAAAACAAAGGGGAGCGGGGCGGCCATTTCTGGCTCGATAGCGGGCCACATCTGGTTTTAAAAACCCAGGGTCCAAACCCGAATTCTTTGGCCATTGAGTATCGAGTTCAGTGTTATTACCATTAAGCCACGTTACTGGCCACTACGCAACTGCCTGCGGGGGCTCTAGATTGAGCTCCAAACCACTACGGGACGACTGTGTCCCCTAACGCGATCGGTAAGCGCCCCTCTACCATAGTTAATATACCCGATCGTAAGTGACGGGACTACGAGTCCGTGGCTCAATGGTTAGAGCGTTGGGGCAGTACGGGTTCAAGCCTTGGGCGTCCCCAAACCTGAGGTTGGGCAAGACTGGGTGGCGATGACCAATAAGTCAGAGATGGTCATCCTAATGTCCTTTGTCTTCGCTGGTTCTCTCTGCATATATATATATATAATGTTAGGGCAACGGGCTCGTGGCCCGGTGAGTAGAGGCGTTGACTTCTAAACCAACAGGTCGCGAGTTCGAGGCTCGGGTGTTCCACACTTCGGGCTTGGGTATGGCTGGCTGACGACGGCAAATAAGCCAGAAATGGCCATTCCAGTCTCTCTTGTCTTCGTCGGTAGTAACATACTGCATATATGTCTATCAGAGGGATGGCAAGAGAGTCTAGGGGTTATATATGTCGACACATGTTAAAGCAAACAAGCCCGAAACCGTTCTGTATCCCTCCACCCCAAGCTCTGTCGCCTCCTCTCTACCATCATAGCTTGGTCGACTTCGATCCGGTAGTTGGTTACCTGTTCGTGACGCCTGTTACCCATAGGAAGCTTGTTTGCGTCCGGATGTCAGTGCATCGGTGTGCGTCCATTTCTGAGTGAATATATGTATATAGATGTATGGGAATAATGACATTACCGTCGAAGACAAGTGAGGACGGAATGGAAATTTCTGGCTTGTTGGCTGTCATCAGCCAACCGTACCCAACCTCGAGGTATGCAAACCCTGAGGCCCGAACTCGCGACCTGTTGGTTAGAAGTCCAACCCATCTAATCACTGAGCCACGGGCTCGTTGTCCTGTCGGTTGCGATGGGGTATATATTTAATGATAGAGAGGCGCTTGTCGATAACGTTTTTTCGTATGAAATCGCAATATTCGAATGTGATTGTTCTCATTGCGAAGCCTTTTATGGACTACCTTAGAGATCATATTCCGTGTTTATCATAAGTAGGACGTAATGCAGCCACCTTTTTCATTTTCAAATCATACGGCTGTCAGGCTGTGTTGTATGTTCTCTATCTTCTATGAAACAGTTAAAAACTGTGTATGGTAAGTGAAAATGGGAATCCCGAAGCTGTTAATCATTGAGGGTAAATCGAATTGCTTTTTGGATATTTTTTTACAAGAAAAGCAGTTCATTCCCACACATTCGTCTCGAATATGGTGTACTCTTTCAGTCAATTGATAACCAAGAAATTCCACTGTTCTGTGGGTAGCCAGACAGCTATTTGCGGATGTTAGGTCCACGAAAGCGCTTTTTCATAATCTTTGAAGACAGCCAGAAACCACAGGGAAGCTAACACAGGTCGATTCCCAAAGCAATGATGTAAGGAACTGTTTTTGAGGTCCCGTAGGCAGGTGCGTTGTCATGTTCCAGGGTGGAAACTGGCCAAGTTTTTTTCGGCGCCACCCCTTGTCGGATTTTTGGTCGACTCTGTTCACCTTGCCGCTGAGCTGTCTCCGCGATCTGCTTAGGAAGAGGAAAGCGTTTCGTCCACCTCCTGCCATGGCCGGAGATCCACTACGTGGTTCTCTAGACAAGTGCAGTCTTGGTCCTACCCTGGAGCGCTTTATGACTTTGTTCTGTCTGCCCGCGCCTGCACCTGGTCATGCGGACCACCCGCCTCTCAGGGGTCCCTGAATAGTCATGGAATTGACCACTGTTCATCTACGACCAGGAAGTCGCATGTTCGCTGCCGCCCAACTGCTGAGCCCAAATAAGCCAGAAACACGCCCTGACCTCTGAGGCTCTAGCCACGTTTGTGCCTGAGAAGAGCTAAGGTGGGAGGATACATATTGCTTTCATGGTCAGCTGTAAATCCCACCGGAGCGGTGGGTGGTCTCTGCCACCTCCCTTTTCAAACCCCATTAGTTCTCCAGGCATTTCGAAGTGTCCTATCTCTGCTACTAGCGCGTGCCGCTCGCGGCGTCTGTGCTTCAGGGCACGTGAATTTCTTCGATCGGATGTGTTTTGTCTGTTTTGGTCAAGAGCAGCTGACTGTTCAAATTTACAGTATGCAGAGAGAGGGAGAGAGAGCCAAGCACAACCAGCTCCACGAAACCGTAAGTATACTGTCATCCGAGCAAAATTGGGCTATAGAATCTGTGGGAATTCTGCTGCATCCGGTCATTTTACTGTACTGAGGGAACTGAGCAATCCAATTGAAGGGAGACAGGGTGTTACGCCTATCCACACTATGCCTATCTCACCCGGAAATATTCAACCAGGTCTAGAGTGTGCTCTTGAATGTTGGTGAAGAGGATTTGAGAAAGTATTAGGCGTGGCTCATAATCTCGTGCTAATTCACTCACGCTG